AGAGAGAGAGAGACAGAGAGAGAGAGACAGAGAGAGAGGAAGAGGAACCAGGGAGTGTGTGGGGGGAACCAGGGAGGCTGGGGTGACCAAGCAGATGCAGATGGGACATAAAGAGTGGCCAGTCAAGGATGGCAGAACAGCCTGGGCTTAGCCTGGCCTCCCCGGCCTGGTCACTGATTGACTGTGTCCTCAGAGAGCCCTTGACCTATTCCCAGCTTTCCAGAGAGAACGCCCTGGTTCTATGAAGCCCCTTCCAGGCCTGTTCTTCTGGCAGTGTTAAACCAGTAACCCAGTAACTCCAGTACTGGCACTGGCAGCCACAGGCCAAGCTTCCCACATTGGCGCCCCATGAATCCTGCACATTCCTCTCCTCTTTATATCTCTCAAATGTGTGGTTTTGTGGGCAGAGACAGCTAGGGCCCAGAGGCTTGGAGGACAGACTACACTCTGGGCTCATGGACCTTCAGCTGCGCAGCACTAGCCCTAGGCTGCATCCCTCCTGCCATGGGCTCAGCTCAGCCAGGTGACTCCCTTTCCAGAGATGGGTCAGAGGCTGCCCTCGTGGTTCTGCCCAGGAGTAACCTGCTGCTGTGTCACAGAGCCCCGCAGCTGCGTCTCCCTGCCCCTCTCCTCCTCTACCCCAGAGCATCCCTTCCTGCTGTCACACTCAGAGATCCCTTCCCAAGCATGTCTCCCAGCCACTGCCCCCAGCCACTCCTAGAGTTGCCTTAGGAAGAGGGGAGACCCCATGAGAGGAGGAGTCCAGCACTCCTGGGACAGCAGAGGTGGCTGCCACCCAGAGGGAGTGTTTCACAATGGCGTGGCCCTGGGCCTGCCAGCCGCTGACCAGCTGTAAGATCCCAGCCAGCCTCCCTGAGCCTCCTTCTTGGGGAGGTTGGGTGGGTCGAGTGGGTTACTGCATAAAGCCCTGAAGCACCACTGAGCTGCTATGTCGTCCTCTGTGTGTGCCCATTGTTACATCCCCAGTGCTTACTCTTAGATTCTTTTTTATTTTATTTTAATTTTTTTATGCATTTAGTACAGGGTCTACAGGGTCTCACTACATAGATTCACCTTGTAGCGATCTTCCTGTTTTCAGCCTCCCAAGTGCTGGGATTATAGGTGCGTGCCACCACGCCCAGTCTCAGTCGCCCATCTCAGCATGCCCCGGGAGCGGGGCCAACACAGCCAGGCCAGGGATTGAACCCCTGGCCCCTGTGTCTGCCTAAGCAGGTGCTTTAATCCTCTGAGCTATCTAGCCAGCCCTTTACATTCTTTTTTAAATTTATTTTTTATTTTCTTAGTACACATTTGCAGTTCATGCAGTTTCTTCACATCGTTCTAAGGAGGGATCAACAGAACCTGTAAGCTGAGCGGAAATGCAGGCTCTGAGATATAAAGGGAATTGCCTAAGATACCACAGCAGGCCAGAGCCTGTGCAGCAGGGGGTATAGCGTAGCGTGGTGCCAGGCCTGGCCCTGCAGTGCTAGAGAACATGTTGGGGGAGGCATGCTCCACCACAGCCGGGAAGTGGAGCAGAAATGGCATCCCCACCCCTCCCTGCCCTGAGCCCTGCTGCTTGGTGGGCATCTGCCCAACTCAGGGTCAGCCGGGGCGTGCTTAGCCCTCACACTGCAGCTGGGGAGCAGTGGCCCAGGGGAAGCAGGGTCAGCCCAAGGCTGAGGAACTGCCCAGGCCCACGTCTCTTGCAGTGTTGGTCCCCCAATCCTGAAGGAGCAGGTGGCGCTGGCACTAAGCCTTCCTGGACCCTTTCAGTCCCAGCACCTGAGCCATGTGAGACTCTTGGAATCAGAAGATGAAACTCACGGAGCCTAGTAGGAGTCTACTGAGCTTGAAGACTCAGGCCTGTGGCCCACCACCCACTTGGGTGACATGGGCACCCCTTGCAGCCACCCACATCCCACAGCGCTGCCTGGGTTGCAAGAAGTGTCCCCCCATCTGCACACACAGCTTCATGGTGTGTTCATGCACAGACGCTCAGCAGGCTGTCCTTCCTCGGCTTCTGACCCCAGCCCTCCTCCTCTCTGTCTCATGGCCTGAGCAGCATCAGCGTCTGCTGCTGCTGCCCCAGATTCTTTTTTTTTTTTTTTGGCAGAACCAGGGATTGAACTCATGCCCTTGTGCTTGCCAGGGAAGTGCTTATTCCACTGAGCCATCTCCCCAGCCCAGTTGCCCGAGATTCTGAGGTCCCAGGAAAACCCAGGAGCTGGGGAAATGGGACGCCGTCCTCTTGGAGGGAAGGTGACCTGGCATTGCCACCCCTCCCTGCCCTGGGTTCTGCTGCTTGTTATATACGTGCCCACGTGGGTACTCCGTACAACAGAGGAATAACTTCCTGTGGGCAGGGCCCTCCACATTGCACCCAAGGCCTCTACCTCCCGTAGTTCTCATGGTGGTAGGGCAGGTAAATAAGGAAAGGCTTGAGGAGACAGCTGGGTTCAAACTTAAGTCCCTCTCATGCAGGGAGTGGAATGTGGCGTTGGGTAGAGTCTGGGTTACCACATGGTTGGAGGCTTTGCTGTCACGAGCACTGAGGATCTTCCTCTCAGCAAGACTCCAATCAGCTTCGGAGCTGAGCGGGGCCCCATGCCGTGTGCTGGGGACTGCAGAGGAGTCCTGCTTGGCCACTGCCCCTGTGCAGCTCCTCCCAGTCATTGAGGAAAGGGACCAGGCTGGTGAGCCAAGCACCCCCCTTGTGGGGCTCCCCAACTGTGCCTGAGGCAAGCCCTTAAGGGATAGAAGCAGGGGACATGGAGGCAGAGGGACTCACATGTAAAGGGGTGAGGGGGCGCAAGGCAGCCTGGAGTGGTTGGCAGGCATGGGAGACTTGCAGGGCGAGTGCATAAGGCTTTCACGGCCAGACTATGGTGTCTGTGGTGATGGGGAATTACAAGAGTGGGGAGCACCACCTGCTGTGCGGGGTAAGGGTTGCCAGCGACCCCACCCCAGCAGCTTGTCAGCTCATCTGTGTTTCTGGATATAGCTGTGAAAGATAAGCACTCATGAAACCGTAATCCAACTGCAATATTTTAGAATAATTCCTTAATACAGGTGGAGTGTCTCTTCTCCCCAATCCTTGGGTCCATAATTGTTTCAGACTCCAGAGTTTTTCAGATTTTAGAATATCTGCATATGCTTTAGTAGTTTGTCTTAGTTACTTTTCTCATGCTGAGATAAAATACCGTATGCACAAAGTTAAGGGAGGAAAGGTTTAGCCCATAGTTCATGGAGATTACAGTCCGTATCGGCTGATTTCAGGGCAGGGTGCCGCATGAGAGACAGGCAACAGCTCATGGTGGAGGAGAATGCAGAAGCAACAGGAAAGAGAAAGGACAAACTTCTGTTTCCCTGCCTGAGGGCAGCTGTAGCACTCACTCCCAGCGTTGGAGGATGAAGCAGACACAAACTCTAGATTCAGCCCCCTCTGAAAAGCTCAGCGCCCATGACTGCATGAGACTTTGGGGGACATCTGGACACAAGCCATAATGTAGTTGGACATTCCCATTCTGAAAATCCAAAACCTGAAGCACTCCAAAATTAAAAAAAAAAAAAAAAAAAGTTTGAGTATGATGTCAGCACTCAGAGTTTTAGGCTTCATATCTCTGGATTAGGGATGATCAAATTGTATCATCAAGTACTCTCTGAGTGCTCTAGATTTCATCTGTGCCGGATGTGTGCACACACCATGGTCTGAATGAGATGCAGAGAGCCACGATTGCCATCAGCTGATTGTGCTGTCTTCTTTTTACTTTTCCTTAAGGTTCATTTATGGAAGAACCTGGGCTGCTGGCCCAGTTGGGTTTCCCACTGTCTGGGCCTTATTTTCCACCCCCTTGCAGTGTTCACACGTTCTCCAGTCTGTATTTCCTGTAAACGAGGACTTGACTCTGGAAGCTTTATAAAGCCCAGAGACAGAGACAGTAGCGGTTAGCATAGAAGCCATGTTCCTCATTCTGAAGATGCAGAACATCTGATTGTCTCTTTCCTCATGATGCGACAACCCATTAGTGATCATTGGCTAAATTTATTAATTCTGCAGTGGTTGCAACATGGTCCAGTACCGTTATTTCCTCCTTGTTTCTTAGGCTGGAATTCTTACCAGGATAGAGACCTCACATCACCGACTTTTTGGTTACCTAGTGGTACATTGTGGGACAAAGGCATGAGTTGATTCCTTACCTTCCTCCAGTAGTGACTGTCTGTCCTATGTCATCCTGACCTTGTAAACACAATCCTCTTTGCTGTGTTTTAATCTATTCATTTATCTTTACTGACTCTGAGAATGGCCCTGGAGGCTGTTGAGAACCTCTTCAGGCTATCTCCCCACTCCTTTGACAGGACCCAGGGGGCTTGGCAGCTTCCTGGACTCCTGATGCAGCCAGAGGTGTGCTGGGAGGGTGCTGGGGTGTGCACACATGCATGCACCCCTGCCTGGTTGTCTTCTCCCACCAGCTCAGGACCCCACTGGCAGCAGGAGGTTGAGCAGTGAGAGTGCTGGGGAGCCCAGTGCGCCAGTCCACTGGCTAGGGTGCAGGAGGGGAAATTGAGGCCCCTGGGATCTCGACTCTGGGTCTCCAGGCCCTGGAGCCTCATTAGCTGCTGCTTAAGCTGCAGGCAGCTCAGGGCCAAGGCCCAAGTTTGCCTAATGATCTTTCCGAGATCCCAGAGTACCTCCTGCACCCTGCAATGGCTACCTGCCTGCCTCCCTCCCTCCCAGTGCAGTCCAGAGCACTCAGCATGGGACCACAGGGGAGAAGGATGTGGTGGAGCTGTGGGCCCGGCTCCTGCTCCCGCTTAGCGGAGCCCTCAGGCAGGCTCCAGCTTCTCTGGAACTCGACCTGCCCACTTGTGCAGTCAGGGTGTCCGTTCCTGGCCTTATGGGCCTCATTTTTGATGTAGTTTTCTGTCTTGACAGCAAAGCAGGGAGAGAGCACCAAAAGTTGGAGCAGAGGCCGGCCTGGGGGCTTGTTATTGAAAAAGGACTCAGAGTTGGCAGCAAGTGGGGGAGGAAAGTGGGCCAGGGAAGCAGCAGGTCCAGAGCCTTGCTGCGCTCCTTACACAGGATCACAGGCTGGAGTCCTGGTTTGGATCCTGTCTCTCACCTGTGCCAGGGCTGCCTCTCCTGGCCAGTTTGCCAGGCTCGCTCCCAAAGCTGGCTGTGAGCAGAGGGGTGATAGCGTAAACTGCCCAGCCTTGTGACTGGGCAGGGCTACATTAGTGGCAGTAGTGTCTCTCCCCAGATTAGCATTTTTCTTTTCTTGGTCTTGAATATCCCACGAGGGTGCATTCCACTTTGCCAAGTATTACTGTTGATGTTGAGAGGTGGGTAAACAAAAGCATCCTAATGAGCCTGGGGGTGGGGAGTGGTGGCGGGGCGCTTCGGCTCTGGCTTGAAGACTGAAAGCTCTTGCTACGCCTGGTGCGGCCTTTGTGCTGAGGCCCCCTCTGCTCTGATACTGGGGTAGTATTCTGCTAGAAGGAGCTGCTCACCTACTCTTGGAACTGTATTCTGCAGTTACCCCAGCCTGGGGGTGTTGCTTTTCCCTGTCCCCCTCCTTCAGCCCACATTGCATATTTGTCCTCATGCTCTCGGGACACCTGCCTGGAGCTGCTGCTGCTCTCAGGGTAACCCCCGCCCCCTTCCTCTCCGTGGCTCTGCATGCCTCCTGTTAACCTTAACACTTTACCCTGTGCCTGCCTGTCCTACCATCCTGGGGTCCTCCTGAGCGCAGGGACCAGGACTAGTACATCTTGAGTACTTGATGTCCAGCAGGGGCTTCAATCCTGGCTTCAGACCCAGATCTATGTGCTCCATGAGGAATGTGTATATTTTCTGCAGAGTGGCTGCAGACGAGTAAGGAATCTCAGTCTCCTCATCTGTCTGCGTAGAGATGGGTAGTAGTGCTCTACCCTCATGAGGTTATTGTGAGGATTAAATGGCAGTGACTCGCGGCAGTCATGGGCACAGGACCTGGCATTTGCATGATGCTTTATACATAGCAGATATTATTGGTGCCCGAATTTATTTATTCAGTTAGCATAGGTGCATTAAGTTCACTGTCTTGCCTAGGCCTGGCAAGATGCTGAGTACGTGATAGTGACGAAGACTGGTAGGGCTTTGCTCTCAGAGAACTGCTGCTCCAGAGGAGTTTCTGACCCTGAACAGTGTCCCTAAGGTACTTACTGTAAATTCAAGTATCTCAGCATAGGAGTGCCAGGGGCTCTGAGTCTGGTGGGGGGCAGGGCTCTGGCCTGGCCTAAAGTCGTCCTGAGGAGGGGACAGACACTTAAGTGGGTGAAGGGGCGGAGGAGAGAGATGGGGACCTCATGGGGCAGGGAGCCTGGTGGGGCTGCCAGGGCTGGAAGGACACAGGATCCTGTTGGTCTGGGGCATGTAATTTCAATACTGTCACAGAGGCGATGGGAGGTTGGGCCAGCATGGTGGCAACATGATGGAGAGGAGACAGGTTTCAGAAAACTGCTGGGGCTAAAGCAGCCTGTGCAAGGAGTGTGGAAAAGATGGGGGAAGATACAGAGGGAAGTCCAGGTGGGGGAGCTCTTAGGAAGGCACAGCTGGAGAGACGCAGCTGGAAGGGACCTCCAGTAGCCCTAATCCTAGCAGGTGTGGGGAACCCAGTGCCAGCTGGCAAGACAGGCTGAGCCCCATCTGCTTCTTGACCCAGATGAGGCACAAGCTAGCCCCGTTTTTGTTCTGGGTCCTCAGACGCACACCTCCCCAGTTCCCCACAAGCCAGATGTGCCACTCAGTGTGTTCTGTCACCACTCTTCTCACGCAGGTCATCCCAGACTGGAAGGAGCAGGAGTGGGACCCTGAGAAGCCTGACAGCTACGCTGGCATCTTCCACTTCCACTTTTGGCGCTTTGGGGAGTGGGTGGACGTGGTCATTGATGACCGGCTGCCCACAGTCAACAACCAGCTCATCTACTGCCACTCCAACTCCCGCAATGAATTCTGGTGCGCCCTGGTGGAGAAGGCCTATGCCAAGTAGGTGGCACCCCAGGCAGGAGGCGGCCAGGCTGGGTGGTGCCGCCATGTGCTCCAGGTGGTGTTTCTTCAGCTGGGTCCATGTTGGGTGGGTGGGTGGGGTCTTGGGCCCTGCAAGGAAGGAACGGTTCCTCTTATTTAGAGAGCAGATGGGCCTAGGCAGGGTTCCTGCGGGTGGTTGAGGCCATAACTCACTATCTGGGCCATGTGCCTTGCCCAGGCGTGCATGCTGCCTATGGAGGTGTGGGGACTGCAGATGGCCTGGGTTTCGAGGGGCAGACCAGGCACTTGGCTTGTGTCCCTTGTTCATTCATTTAGCTGTCTGACTGTCCATTCTTTCCATCCTTACTGACCCTCCTTCTCTGTGCCAGGACCTGTGTTCCCACACTCAGAACAGACAGAGCAAAGGTTTGCTGAGCCGTGGAGGCTTTGGGGGCAGAGTGACCTGCCCAAGCCCCTGAACATCTGGGTCACAGGAATCAGTGGGTGCTGGAGACCGGCCCGGCCTGCT